TTGAGTCTAAATGAATAGTAAACATAGTCTTGGTGTACATGGATCTTGTCTTTGCAAATAACTTATTCTAATGTTGGTTTTGTAGTTTGTACTACAGTGGCATAGCCAGACATCGAGTTCACTAGGGTCCTTAAAAATGTACTAACACTAATGCTTGTGTACCTAATGAATTTTGAGTTAACCGGGGGTCCTTAATGAGTTAACATAGTTTAGATTGTGGGATCCTAAATTTGAATTATCGTACTAAAACCTATACATTTAAAGAGTTTTGTTGCTCAATTTTTTCCAAGTGGGATCCTACGACCCCTCTTCTCCTTACCTCCCTCTGCCACTTACTACAGCTTCTACTTATTAGTTATTACTTATTACTAGGGGTGGTAATCGGTAAACCGGTATTCGGTATTACCAGATACCGTACCAGATACCGGCAGTATCGGTATTCGATGACGTGATTTGGCATAACGGTATACTGGATAATACCCGGTAATATACCGACAACAATCCGGCATACCGGAATACCAAAATAGCATATATTAAATAAGGGAAAAGATGGATTCCACCGCATGGACTCCACCGCAGAACTCATGGATTCTACCACAGAACTCATCTCGACTGGAAATCTGCATCCCCAATCCAAAAACAGAAAGAAATCATAAATAACGGACAAAAAAAAAAAGAAACTTGCAACAATTCAATGACAAAACTGTGACATCCCGATCTCAAAAACCCTTAAATAACAATTTTGCTCCGGAGCATATTTAAAATTTTGAAAGAAAGAAATAATAATGTGCTCGAAATACCAATACTGAAAATACACCTTATAATTTAAAAGCAAAGCCCTAACATTTGGGCAAACCTCAATCCATAAAGTCTTATCCTTTTAAATCTCCAGTCATTACTCATAATCATAAAGCAAATAACTAAAGATTACAAATGCTGCTTACTCCGATCCGTGGTCAGACATCTTCAGAAGTGCTCACGTAGTCCTCCTCTGGTAGCCTGCTCTCTCACTGGATGCTCCTCGACTGGATGCTCCCTAGCTCCTCCTCTACGACCTAGTGAGTGGGTTGGGGTCAGTCTACGCCATTACTTAAACTTGAATCACTTACGGATGTTCCCTTAAGTGTTCACCTCAAAACTTGTGGAAGTTGTTCATACTTCCACCCTTTAAATTTTTAACTCTTAAAAACGTGGGAGTTATTGTTACTCGCCACCCTCAAAATCTTAAACCTTTGATATACACTGGGATCCCCTCACTAACTAGTCCAGCCGCCCAGCTCATACGTATGAGGGCCAATATAGGTCTTTCCTTAAACCTTTTTATGGGAGTAATCGATTCAACCCCATAAACCTTAAGAGTATATCATACTCTTCCTTTAAATTTCATGTGATGTCTAAGTGATTCATTCACATGTTCCTTAAGAGCAAACAATTGCTCTTCCTTTAAACTTTCATTGGGGCGGGGGACTGGCGTTAGTGAACTACCTTTAAATCTTTTCACCCTAATTTAATTAGGAGTGAAATACCTTTTAAATGTTGATCCTTAAAGATCAAGCAACCTTCATTAAATAAACATAAATATAAAAGCCTCAAGTAAATACTGAAAGCTCAAATAATCATATACTTCATAATCATAACTCAAATAGAGCATCTCAGGTAATATCTCAAATAAAACATGATTTATCAATCACGACATAAATCAATCACTGGCATACAATTCACATAAACACACACACTCAAAACTCGTAAGTCAGATACTTGAAAATACGTAAGTCGTAGAATTTACCCCCTTAAACCACTCACCTTATTTAGTCAAGCTGTTTACAACTTGAAGACTGGTGCCCTTCACTTGAGTGATCGCCTCTTGATCCTATGGCGAAAACCGAGGTTAGATCGGTTTGATTTCGGGGTTTTAGCGACGGGTTTCTCGATTCGGGACTACTTTGCAATATGTGCAAAGTATGGTATACTAATGTACCAATTAATTTATCATACAAAATCTTCACTCCTTAGCCAATTTAAATACTTGAAAAACAAATCATGCTAAGCTCACTTACCTAGTCGGATTCAAGAAGCGCATATTATAACATATATCACTCTGATAAATAAACTAGTTAATTTACCCACTAACTAACTTAGATTAATCTAACTTGCTAATCTTAACATATCATCTTCTGGTTTAAATTGTCACAATATCATACCCGTTAAACTAATATTTTCTAACTAATACTTAAATCATCTTAATCTATTAACTTGCTTTAAAAAAACCTCTTATCATATTATAGTCTTTATATTATTGGATAAAATACTTAATTAACTCAAACTAAACCATTTTATCAACTACTAACTTATTAACATCCTAATCCATGCATGCCTATTAACTCAATTGCATATTAATTCAAATAACTTTACATAATTCACCTAGAGACTTAATATGCAAAAGCTACAGCTCGTTTAGTGACCGTCCAGATCCGTCACCAAAGGTCACGTCAGCCGTGCCAAAAGAGCGGCCACAACCTCTGCTTGGCCAGTCTTTCGCGACGGAAGCTTAAAAGTTACTAAAAGCTTGGAAGTCCGTCACTAATTTCCCAGAATTCTACTAACTCGAATAACCCACATGATTCTCGATTTTAATGTAAGTGATCGGGCTTCCTTACCTCGTGTGCGTGCCTAGATCTAGATTCCCGTCAGTGGGACCTTCACTTCCTTGCTTAAATTGTCATTCAATCCCCCGTACATTTTGTCGTCAAAGCAACGACGAAGACAACCATGGTTAGTACCTATAGAGCTTTGAAGCTTGAAGAGTGTTGGGGTTTTGTCGTTCTTACTTACTAGTCTCTACAGGGAGTGGAAGAAACGAATGGAATCGACACTAGTTAGTAGTGTGGCGTTTCTCCGGAAATGGCAATGATCGGTGATTTGGCCGGCGATGCGGCGGGGAAGATGACGCATGGGACGAGTGCTAGTCTGCTAGAGCTTTCGTTAGCCTCCTCCTCCTGTTGCTGGCGGTGGCAATAATGACTCTCGGAGATAGATGGAGTGGCTTCTTTAATAATGACGATGATGACGGAAGGCTTTGCTGAAGGGAACGATTGGAAGGAGGAAGGAAGTTGATGATAATGGATGCAAGGTTCTGGTGTTGTTGGGAATCAGTAATGAAGGGAAGAAATGAGAAAGTGGATGCCGGATGGAGGGATTCATAGTAATGAAATGGATGTATAATTTAAGCCATCCATGCACCGACAGTGTTATCTCTAGCTAGCTGTGTCTATTAATTGAGCTCACAAGTATGATGTGTCAAGGGAATGGGGGTACAGAATTAGGTGGGGAAATTAATTGGGTCGTTCGGGTTGGGGTGTTATTATTCTGGGTTAATTGGGACACCGAGAGGGGGTTTACTGGGCTGGGTTAATTGGGATAGGGGAATTATTTGGAGATTTTTCCAGAAATAGTACTGTTTTTTTTTCAAAATTAGCACCCAACTCCGAAAAATTCCAAAAATAGCACCTTTTTTGTAAAACCGCCACCCGTACCAGCGGTTTAGGCGAAAACCGCCACCCGGAGGCGCGTTTTTCGATGAAAACCGCACTGGTAGGGGCGGTTTTGCAGACCGCACCCCCACCATGCGGTTTGGTTGCAGACCGCACCCCCACGATGCGGTTTGTTTACAGACCGCACCCTCACGATGCGTTATGTTTTTTTTTTTTTTTTTTGAAAAATCCTAACCTATGTGGAAACTTCAACCGAACGTATCTTTATGTTCGGGTATCCAATCGTCGCGATTTTTTTTTGATTCCGCATAACTTTTTGAGATCTTGCAAGCTGAAGACTGCCATCGGTGGTTTGGTCTCTCCTTCGTCCAAAAAATTGTCGTTTGCTACCCCGAACGAGCTTTTTTCCGATTTCGTCAAACTTTGGACAACCGTAACTTTGTGCTCCAAAATCCAAACGGCATGATTTTTTTTTAATCTCGCATAACTTTTTAAGGACTACCATTTTTACTAGGAATGAATTTTCAAAACAGGAATTATTTTTGGATATACAGGATTTTGGGAATAGCTTATCTTCCCTTCTCAGCAATCCACGTACATTTTGAAATTATGTCTATGATAAAAGTTGTATTCCTTAAAAATTTATGCGAAATAAATTTTTTTTCATGCCGTTTGGATTTTGGAGCACAAAGTTATGGTTGTCCAAAGTTTGACGAAATCGGAAAAAAGTTCGTTCGGGGTAGCAAACGACATTTTTTGGGACGAAGGCGGGACCAAACCACCTTTGGAAGTCTTCGGCTTGGAAGATCTCAAAAAGTTATGCAGGAAAAAAAAATCGCGACGATCGGATACCCGAACATAAAGATACGTTCGTTTGAAGTTTCCACCTAGGTTAGGATTTTTCAAAAAAAAAAAAAAAACAGACCGCATCGTGGGGGTGCGGTCTGCAACCAAACCGTATGGTGGGGGTGCGGTCTGCAAAACCGCCCCTACCAGTGCGGTTTTCATCGAAAAACGCGTCCCGAGTGGCGGTTTTCATCGAAAAACGCACCTCCGGGTGGCGGTTTTATAAAAAGGCTGTTATTTTTGGAATTTTTCGGAGTTGAGTGCTATTTTTGGAATTTTTTTTTAAACAGTGCTATTTTTGTAAAAATCTCAATTATTTGGGTTGGAGTTGACGTGGAGGGGGTTTACCCCTTCTGCTCCCTCCTTTTTTGTTAACAATAATAATAAACAATAAATATAGTTATTATAATTATTCCTAATCCGCAATCCTTCGTGCGTAACCTTCTATCCAATCGATCATTTATCATGATCGAACTTGAACTCAAATGTCGGGGTGTTACAAAAACCAATATGCAGTTGTGAATAAATAATGTCTAGCTGAAGGCAGGTCGAGAGAGAGGCTTGTTGGCGGAAGCACTAAAGGAGGAAGCTGGAGAGGATTTTGGAGCGACCTTGATTTGGGAGGCAACACGGGTAGCCGAATTGTGAGCGGAGGAGCGGAAAATGGATCTGCCGGCGGCGGTGCAAGCGGCCATTATATTGCTTTTGGACGAGGAAGTAAAAGTCAAACAACCCGAGGTTTTGGCTGGAGCTAGAACTATGAAAGTAAGTTCAATCCGAAAGGTTTATTTTCAGCGAATTTAGAACTCACAATTCAATGAATGCAATTTTGAAAGAAAATGATCTATCCGATATCCTGGTTAAAATACCGGTAATCGACTATCTGGTATCCGGTATACCGGATAACTTTTGGTATCTGTATTTGACGACATAACTTCAATTGCTGGTATACCGAATACCGACCGATTACCACCCATACTTACCCACATGATTTCAATATGGGTTGGTTGGTTCCTTCCTTGGTCCAACTCGAACTGATCCGTTAACCACGAACCTAGTAGCTACCTCATCCTCTCCGGTTATCCTATCCGAAGTTCCAACTAAACATCGTCAGCCCTCCACCCAAAAAAAGCACGGCGCCAATTTAGCTGGTGGTGGTAGGAATGGCCGAGCCTCGGGCACAAAAGGAGAAAGAGCCGAGAAAACAAGGGAAGAAAATGAGAAAATGAGTCCGATTCTGCGGAGGACGAAGATTCCTCGGACCTTCATTCCCCAGCTTTTGGGATTCGCGAGCAGGTCAATCAAGTCCTTCAGATTCCCTGGCGAGCCTCTCGACTCTTCATCCATCACCTATGGCGTCCATGTCTTCCAATGCCCGGTACCCTCCACCAATAACTTCCTTCCTGTTTCTATCGACGCAGTAATTACATTTGCAACTTTCGATTTGAAATGGGGTTTCTGCCGTTTCACAGGATGCTCGTGGTATCGTCGCGAAGCTGTCGGATTGCATTGCTTCCAGAGGCGGGAACATCCTCGGAGCTGACGTTTTCGTGCCGGAGAACAAAGAGGTTTTCTATTCCAGAAGGTAACACGATTTCATTTGAATTCGCATTGAACGTTTGGGTTGTTGGGCTTCTGTTGCTGGTTGAAGAAACTATGGGGGATTCATCTCTTTTGAAATGCAGATTTGAGATATTATTTTTGGATTCATCTCTTTTCTCTGGGTTTGGGAATTTGGATTGCGTGATTGGTAATATTGAAGCTTAAAAGTCTGTCATCTTCGATGGGGTTGATATCGTATGTCTATCAAGCAAATGATGCTATTGTTAGTCATTATTGGATAGAAAGCACATTTCTTAATCAGGCATAGTATTTGCTTTTTGTTGTTATGATTGTTGAGAACCCCTGCAACACGCGTGCAGTGAGTTCATTTTCGACTATGTTAAATGGCCGAGGGCACAGATGGAAGAGGATTTCATGAAGCTATCTAGATCGTTCAATGCAACGAGATCTGTTGTTAGGGTGCCCGATCTAGACCCAAAGTACAAAATTGCCGTTCTTGCTTCAAAACAGGTATTGATGTCTGTTTTTATTCTAGCCAGCGGCTGTGTTTGTGTACGCATTATGAATTTATGACAAACCATTGTTTGTCACTTGTTGCAGGAACATTGTCTGACTGATATGCTGCATGGATGGCAGGATGGAAAACTTCCGGTCGACATAGCTTGTGTAATTAGGTTGAGTTTTGAGAGCTTTATCCATTCTTAGTAGGCTCTTTATTCTTGATACATGCTCATTTGGGTTCTCTCTGCTTTCTGCAATAGTAACCATGAAAGAGGTGCAAATACACATGTGATTCGTTTCCTCGAAAGAAATGGGATCCCTTATCATTATTTAGACACAAGCACAGAGAATAAAAGGGAGGAGGAGATTTTGAAATTGGTCCAGAATACTGATTTCCTAGTACTTGCCAGGTACATGCAGGTAAATGAATTTGTGTGAATCTATTTAGGACTTTGATTTCTCTCCTGTGATATATTGGGGATAAGAAGTTTTCATAGTCAGATTAATTTATTGCAGGTACTATCTGGTAAATTTTTAAGAAGCTACGAGAAAGATGTAATTAATATTCATCATGGACTTCTGCCATCATTTAAAGGCGGATTCCCTTCTAAGCAGGTTGGCTTTAGGCTTCAACTCAGTTTTAGTGAAAAATGAACCGTTTCTGTAAAGTGACTTCTCTGACTCGTAAATAACGTGTTTCATGTTCTCTTCAGGCTTTCGATGCAGGTGTGAAATTAATTGGCGCAACATCTCACTTCGTCACTGAAGAACTTGATTCAGGGCCTATTATTGAACAGATGGTACCAGTGGCTGCTGATCTATATGTTAATACCATTTTATAACATGACCTCGAGCCTGTAAATGATATTCTAATATGAGCTATTGTTCGGATGCAGGTTGAGAGAGTCACACATAGAGATAATCTTCGAAGTTTTATTCAGAAGTCGGAGAACTTGGAAAAACAATGCCTTGCCAAAGCTATAAAGTCATATTGTGAACTAAGAGTGTTACCCTATGAGCATAACAAGATTGTCGTCTTTTGAGGTAAAAAAAAAAGACTAGATTCTTGCATTTAGTAGGTAGTTATTTTAGTCTGTACAATCCACTCATTCATCAAATGATAGATTGATACATCAAACCAGTAGAAGCAAGAGTGAACTACAATGATGTACATCTTACGTTTATTCAACATGGGAATTTTGCAAATACATAGTTTTGTCACCTTAGGATTTTCTGTTGTTTTATTCTCATCTGTTTGTCTGAATTAGTACCAAGAGCAATTCATACTTGGCTTCAAGTGTCTGATGGATGCTCTAACCGCAAATTGTGTTAATCCCAGAGGATGCGTTATATCTGGTTTAGAATTTGAAATGGGAAGAGTGTAGAGAAACAAAGAAACTAGATGCAAATTTTACGAAAAGAGATTGCTTCCTTTCTCTTTTCCACATATAGCAGCAACATTAATTGACTTGGCGGGTTGACTTCAGACCAGAATACAGATTCGGTTGTTGAGTTTCTAATGTACAAAACTTTGGCAACCGAGACTAAATGCTGTTGTTTATGCTCAAAAATTCCAAAGATCTCTCAGTTGCTTCCATGCTATTAACTCAACGAAGCAGGGTTTGAATCCCATCGACCCATTTTTGCTTCTGAATCTTGCTCTTGCACTTGAACTCCAGAAGTCCTTGTGCAGTTTTGACTCCAAAGTAGAGTTCTCCAGAACTTTCTCTCTCTTTTCTGTATGGCCATGCAATTGTCTCGTCGCAGACTCCATAGATGATTCTTGAAAACAACCCAGATGCAGAAAAAGAAACACGGTATGAGTTGGAAGAACAAGAAGAGGGGAGGAATGCTGAGATAGAGAGACATGGAGGGATAGAGAGAGACTGATGAACAGAAAGTTGCAGACCTTTGTGGTTCTTGGAGAAAGCTCCACCAACGTGCTTGCTTTTAATCTTAATAAACAACCTGAGATTTCTTGTTGATGTGAACAGAGACCTTTTTCCATCTCAGTGCTCCTAGAAATTGGGTAAATGGTTATCCAGATGATACCAGGTTTAGTTGAGGACTCTTCTGTCTATGAACATTCTCATATAAGCCATAGAAGAAAATGAGACAAACCTTTAGTAGTTGGCTGCAAAAGATCTCCATCGCATGCTGGAGTCAGTTGCTGCTTGTCTTGGGACTGTGAAACCAAGCTTGAGGTGGAATCAACATCCGACATTGCCCAATCGTAAGGACTATTAGCTGCATTTTTTGTTGCTTCCTTTGGCAATCTCGATTTCAGAGTTGCTTCTCCTCTTAAAACTATAAGAACAGCTACAATGTTAAATAAAAATTCAAGAAGTTGAACGAAAAATCGACGAAATCTCACTAGACTTTGAGATCACTCACAAATCGGTTATCAAATGTTAATTCTTAACGACAGAAAAAATCAATTATTGAAGTGACCGCTTACCGCTTTTATTATTAATTAAAAGATTGGCTATTAGGATAATTTGTGATGCCTACATTCAACGAAATGATTGTTATATTACCCATTCTTCATTTTGTTTAAAGTTTGTCAAAAGATAAAAGCAAAATAAATCTGTATAGCCAAAACTTTACGCTCTGTTTGGCAACAAGGGGGGTGCAAATTCAAGGAGGGTACAAATTGAGGGGTAAATGATAGGGGGATGAGTTTAAGGGGGGTGCAAATTGGGATGCAAATTGTTGTTTGGATAAAAAAACAGGAGAGTGCAAATTTAGATATAAAATATAAATTTAATAGAATAATAATAATAAATATAAAAAATAAAATAACCCAACCCCACCATTCTCTCTCTTCCTCTCATTCACTCTCTTCCTTTGCCCCACCACCTCTTCTCTCTCTCCCCCACCAACGTTCCTTCCTTTCCCCTGACCCCACCACCAACTTCCTTTTCTTCCTCCACCTTTTAATGCTCCACATTGGGGTGCAAGTCTAAATAGTAACTTTGTCCACCTTTTGCACCCGCCTGCCACTGTATCAAATTATCCAAACAATGGTATTTGTCTCGATTCTGCCACTTACCCCCAGCTTCTTACCCCCCCTCCCCCACTTCCCCCCTCTTCCCAAACAGAGTGTTAGTGTTTGTGACAATAATAATCACTTTTGGCGAAATATAAAAAATAGCCATAATTTTGAAAGTTTCATTACAAATATAGTCATTTCCATTACAAACTTTAACAGTGTTAGAAACTCCGTCAGGTAAGTTAACATTAACCTGACTTGGATGCCAAATCATTGCACACATCAGACAAGTCCTCAATATCATTTCTATGTCATTCTAAATATAAAAATAATTAATTTTGATACTATAAAAAAACATAAAATATTTTTTTCTAATTTTCCTCCTCTTCCTACCTTCATCCCCTCTTCTTCGAAAATCCCCAATTAACAAACCCTAGCCCCGGCCAGGGCAACCCCAATCCGCCGCGGAACCCAAACCGACCAGGTGACTGCCATCGCCACCCCCTCGACAGCTCGGACACAGCTGTCCACGAGCAACGCCTACCTCCTCGACCTGGCCGTCGTCGCTCCTGTTACCACAACCAATTATCCCTTGCCCCAAGCCCTTCCATTCTTCACTTTTTTCTCGATGATGGGACATGCCATTCTACAATCTGACAGTTGCTCGACCTCCCTCCTGCAGGTGTGATATCTGGTCCGCTGTGGGAGATAGGGGTGAACAAACACACCCGCAAACCGAACCACCCGTCCAACCCGAACCAACCCACCCGTATTTATCGCTAAAACGAAGGTTTTGGGTTGAGTGAGGGTTTTCTTTTGTACAACCCGCCTCTTTTGGGTTGGGTTTGGATTTTGGATTACACAACCCGTAGAACCCGACCCAACCCGTGTTCCAACTATTAGACCATCTCCATCCAATTGCTTATACCTATTGCTTATTTAGTGGGATCCTAGGTGGCACCACTTTTAAGCAATTGCAAGGATGTAGGGGTGCTTTCTTATTTAGCAAGATTGCTAAATAAGAAATTCATCTTGCAATGCCACATAGGATATCTTTTATTTTTCAATTTCCTTTTCTTTCTTTGTTATGTGGTAAGAAATTGTATGGGTCCACTATTGGCAATTGCTTATTGGTTTTAGGGATGTAGGGGTTTGGAAATTATTGCTTGATTGATGATGTGGCGATAAGGGCCCACTTTAGAAATTGCTTATTGATTGCAGGGATGGAGATGGTCTTAGTATGAGTTCGGATCTAAAAATTTTTTATATAGTAATGATTCACGTAATCCTTTTTCTTGTGTACAATTTTAATAGAATAACATATTATGGATGCGTTTGTTTATAATAATTTTAGCCTATTTCGACAAATATCGTGAAAAAAATAGGACATATGTTGAAATAAATAACATTTTACTAAAATTTAAACAACATTTGTAAATTTTCATACCTTTCACCTTGGTTCATTCGTTTGAAATTTTAATTAGTTATAAAATATTTTTATGATTTAGAATAATTATATATTTATGTTGGGTTGGGTTTTTACTTAAAAATATCGCCAACCCGACCCAACCCAATTAGAAACAAACCGTAGGGTTTAAAATTTTTTGAGTGGGTTTGGGTTTGATATTTTCCAAACCGTAGTGCATGGGTCGGGTGATTCGGGGCATGTACACCCTAGTGGGAGAGAAGATAGGTTTGGCTACATATCTAAATCAGGGCATAAACGCAGCGGCGGCGTAAGCAAACAACAAACAGAGTGCGGTGGGGGAACACCGATTTTTCGCGCGACGAGTTTCCAGTTTGAGGGGAAACGAAATAACTCCCACTAACCTTCCTCCTCTTCAATTAATTCTGATTCTCGTTCCGAAAAACCATCGGTCGCCGCTGAGTCTTCCGGAGGGGATGGGGAATCTCCTCGGAGGCGGTAGGAGGCGGTAGAGGCGGAAGGAAGGGCGAGGAGGGAAGGAAGAAAATCGACGAATTACTATGAATAACATGAAATGAAAACTATCAAATCCACTAATGGGGCAACAGATGAATCAAGAATAGCAGTTAAGTCAATCCAAGTTCAAGGCTTTTTCCAGTAATGGTCGACTCTTCTTTTAATTATTGTTTTCATTTTTTTCAATTAAATCTACGTGGCAATGCTGTTAACTAATGTTGCCACGTCAGCCCTTCTGTTAGTCCAGTCAGTACGTTAAATAACACCGTTAAAGAATTGGACGAAAGTGACTATTTTTTGTATTTCCGTAAAAGTGACTATATTTGACCAAACCATCAAAGTTTTGGCTACACATGTATATTTTGCCAAAGATAAAACTTTCATTGATAAATTTGTTAGTAATCCAGGCGGGAAATTATGTAAATAGCCATCGTACAGAGGGACCGAGGATGTGGTTAGTGAGGAGTTTTACAATGTTATATAGCATTGATGCTATAGGTTTTTGTCTTTATGGTACAACTTGAAGTTGTACCTATGTTTTTTTGTACAAATTCTTTTATGGTACAACTTAAACTTGTACCTTTATGTGACGGTACAACTTTAAGTTGTAAAGTTGTACCATAAAATAAGGGTACAAATTCTTTTATGGTACAACATGAACTTATACATTTAACGTTATGATACGACTTCAAGTTCTACATTAAAGCACCAATGCTTTATGAGCACTTTTACTATGCTATATAGCATTGGTGCTTTAATGTACAACTAAAAGTTGTACCATAAATATTGAATGTATAAGTTTAGGTTGTACCATAAAGCAATTTGTACCATTATGTTATGATATAACTTTACAACTTGAACTTGTACCATCACATAAAAGTACAATTTCAAGTTGTATCATAAAAGAATTTGTATAAAAAGTATAGGTACAATCTAAAGTTGTACTATAACGTAAATGTACAATTTTAAGTTGTACCATAAAAGAAAAAACCTATAGCACCAATACTATATAGCATTGTAAAATTTCTCATGCTTTATAGTATAGTAGAAGTGCTCGTGGTTAGTACCTGTGGAAGCTGCAGCAGTGAGCGTAACAAGATCACTAGGGCTCCGAATATCGACGCCCGATCTCACCACCGAGCCGACTCGCTCGTGATCGGCTCCGGCCAACTCAGCTAGCTCTATGCAGTACGAGGCAATGAGTTCCGTCGCAGAAGCTAAAGCCATGCTCATTAATGAGCCTCCTCCACCGGAATTTCCAGCTGCAGCCTCGGCGGCCAACCCTGCCGCCAGACCGGCCACCACTACAGCAGAGTGTATCCTCGCGCTCTCCATTCTTGCCCTGTCTTTCTTCTTCACCGCTGCACTGCTACTGATGCTGCTTAATCCACCGCTGCTAATCGTCTCCCTGTCGTGGTAATGGAACCATTTCCCAAGTGTTCCTGTTCTCTTGGAGTGTATTGAACTTTGCACCTTACCTGTCTGACAAAATGCCCCAAAGAAGGGGGGGGGGGGGGGAAAGGCTTCTTCAACAGAAATCCTTCCACTTTCCACAAAAGGGTAATTTGACGAGCCATTTTCGATCTGGAAAAGTTGGTCTAGTGGAGGAGGAGCTTACGAATTGTGGAGTGATAGTGAGAGTGTAGAAGAGAAAATCTCGAGTGAAAGGAAATGAATAGGAGATGGACAATTAGGGATTTTGACTGAAAGGTCAACAAAGGAGTTAACCCGATGCAACTGATCTGATCAGATACTGATCTCCCAATTATCACTCGAGTGGGCCTTACAAGAACAAGCCCACAGATCCTCAAAGACAGATCCAAACACAAGACTTGTTCAGGCCCAAACTCTTTGAAGAAGGTACGAAACAAATCATATTCTTCACAGAGCCAACACTTCTCGAGTCAGGGAGAAGCAGAACAGGGGAGGAAGACAAAAGGTAGAAAATTGCAGAAGCTTAAAGAACACAGTCGATTTAACGAGGTTCACCACAGGGTTACTCCTCGTCCCAGGATAGTACCACTATCCCGAGAGACACTTTGATTTTCTTTTAGGACGCAAGCAACAAGAACAAAACAATCGAACTACAGACTCTGGTGAGAAAATCAAAATGCCACTGTTCTAGACCCGAATTCTTGCAGGAATTCGATACACCCTTTGAACAAGCTGAACCTATACCTTAGCTTAGATCAAAGCCACCAATTCCCAAACCCAACCCTTTGCCCTTTGCCAAAAAGAAATCCATGTTTGCTTCAGTAACGAGCTCTTGCCCTGCTGCTTCTTTAAATAAGTCTTCAAGGAGCCGTTGGTGTTTGAAATTGGAGCAGAATGGGTAAGTTGAGCAGCTGGCAATTGAGATCTTTGATTGATTGATCTGCTCCCCCTTGATTCATGATCTGTCAATCTCCTAATTGATCTTTACCATCTCAACAATCTCCCCCTAAGTTGGAGATTGCCGATTGTCCGCTTGAACCCTGCAAAACAGGAACCACCTTTCCAAGCACACACAACATCTAACCAGTTCTAATTTTAAGAACTTTCAGCAGCAGATTATAACTTTCTATGAAAAACTCATTCTACCACATCACACATTCAGCAAGTTTGAAAATATCCAGCAAGCATTCAACAGATAAGAGTGCACATTCAGACTGAAAAACTGAAAAAACACATCCAATGAGTCATAATAGAAGCTGGGAAAAGACACGTCCAGTAAACCAAAGGATCGAAATAAACATCAACATCAAATGGAAGTGTTAATCGGATCCATAAGTATCCTGAAGAGCAGCTAGCACATCACTTAACGGAGAGGAGCCAGGATCAGAGTCATCATCACTGTCACTGCTGCTGCTAATCCAATGTACTTCTATATCCGGATTTGGTTCTTCTTCCTTAGATCCAGAATCGACTTCTTCTTCAGTAGGTTCCTCCTCTGGTTCTTCGAAGTCTGAGTCTGAATCATCCTCCCCCTCAACGGCAATGGCAATCTCGTCCAAGACATCATCAGCAGTAATAAAAACGATGGGAGTGGTGGTGCAGAAAGGGTCAAGAGAAATCTCAAGACGAGTAATCAGATGACCAAATGGAAGATGACCATGGTATTCAAAATACTGGAACATGTATAGATGTCCAAATAGCAGATGAGAGTAGTCGAGAGGGACATTGGTCACATCATGCTGAATGACCCAGAGATCCAGAGGGGTGACTCGATCTAGGAGGACAGTCCTAGGAAGGAAGCGATGAGTGAGGAAAAAATGGAAGGTTCGGATAGCATGGAGCAGGAAAGTGGTGGAAAGAGTGAGCAGAGCATCAGGAGTATGTCCAGTCCTATGCACAAAATCATGCACAATATTGAAATTGAACAACATAAGCTCATACTCATGAGCCAAAATTTCACCGACCTGGGGAATAGCAAGCAGACGCCTAAGATCCTCAATGGGGATAGTAACAAGATGGCCATAAATCAGGGTAGTAAAAGTACGAGTGTCAAGGCCAAAAGAACGAAAGTTTGAGTAAAACAGGCGAACCCCCTCAGGACAAATATGCTCAAGGGTTTCATCAATAAGAAAATCCCAACCCAGATTATGAATGAGTTGAGTGAAGTCAAGACCATACTCAACTAAGCCAGCATGAGGAATCTGATAGGTGGGAATGATAGGGCGACGAGCATAAGAGACATCATGTCTATGGGCATTAGCAGGGATAGGGTCATGGAACAGGGTACCTGTGTAGGTGATGGAGAACTCGAACACCATTGAAAAGACTAGAACAGACAGCTAAGACTCAAACGAAGGATGAGTGACCAGAGAAAGAACACACAGACCAATAAATACCAAACAAACACACGAAGATAAGGTAAACACATAAAAAGGAAGAAATATGAAAGGAAAGCAAAAACAGAAAAGTAAAGAGAGAAGATCAGACAATCAGATCAAATTCTCCAGATTCTCTGGAGATCGAAGCCCTAGTTCATAGCAAAGGAAAGTGAATCGATCTGCATTTAATGGCTTAGTAAACAGATCGACCAGTTGGAACTCAGTTGGGATTTGGTTTAATTGAATTAAATGCTGCTCGACTAATTCCCTAATAAAATGACATTTTACTTCTATGTGTTTAGTTCTGGAGTGCTGCACAGGATTTTTGGACATACATATAGCACTAGTGTTGTCACAAAATAATGGGATAGTCGAGGTATTGATTTTATAGTCTAGAAGTTTTTTTTTAAGCCAGATGAGCTGAGTACGCAGCTCCCTGCTGCAATGTACTCGGCTTCAGTAGTAGAAAGGGCAACTGCCCCTTGTTTTTTACAGGACCAATAGACTAATGAAGTTCCTACAAATTGGCAAGTCCCAGTGGTACTTTTCCTATCTGAGAGACTACCAGCAAAGTCAGAGTCGCTATATCCTAGTAAATTGAAGCTGTCATGATGTGGATACCACAATCCTACCTCAGGGGTTCCTTTTAGATAACGAAAAATTCGTTTTACAGCACTAAGATGGCTTTCTTTGGGGGCAGATTGAAACCTAGCACAAAGACACACACTATGTTGGATGTCTGGTCTACTAGCAGTTAAATTTAGTAAAGACCCTATCATTCCACGATATTTCTTTTCATCAACTAATTTCCCAGAAGTGTCTTTGTCAATTTTGAGATTGGTTGCCATGGGAGTAGGACTAGAATTAATCGTGTTCATGTTGAATTTTAGAAGCATTTTCTGAAGGTATTTCGATTGGTTAATAAAGATTCCAGATGGGCTTTGTTTAACTTGCAGTCCAAGGAAAAACTTTAACTCTCCCATCATGCTCATTTCGAAAACTAACTGCATGGTTTCACAAAATTTAGTGCATAGTTTAGGGTCACTAGATCCAAAAACTATGTCATCTATGTAGACTTGAACAATAACAATATGATCAGACACATGCTTTATGAATAGAGTCTTATCTATACTTCCTTGAACAAAAGATTTTTCAATAAGAAAGGAAGAGACACGTTCAAACCAGGCTCTAGGAGCCTGTTTGAGACCATACAAATGCTTTGTTTAGCTTATAAACATAGTCAGGATGTTCAAAATCAATGAATCCAGGAGGCTGAGCTCATGGTTCAAAAAGGCACGCTTAATCTTACGCATAGGCACGCCTAGGCGCAAGGCAATGACAAAACGCCTCGCCTTGGGGTTTCACGCCTAATACACGTCAATGGAGTAAGGCGGCATATAAGTCTCTCCTAAACATAACTAGATGGAGCTAGGAAGTCAATATTAAAGGAGAAAATTAACATCAACTACGAAATCAATTTTCTATATCAATATTTTCAATAGCTCAAGAAATTTGTGAGCTATTGAGCTATGATTTATGAAATCTTAAACTATGTTCTTGTCATTAAGTGTTGAGTAAGTTATTAATCATTTTAACTGAAGTGAGGAAGTGTTGTAAATTATTATTTCATTTATCATGCAGTGTGAATAGTTTTTTTTTCTTCGAACGCCAAGGCACGCTTAATCTACGCCTAGGCGAGCTAGGCACTAGGCAAAGGCTTAACGCCCGCCTTACGCCTAGCGCCTTTTTGATCCTTGGCTGAGCTACATAGACTTCCTCATGTATCAAACCATTTAGGAATGTGCTTTTCACATCCATTTGATACAGGGGAAATCCCATAAAGCTAGCAAAAGCACATAGTAACCTAATGGATTCAAGCCTAGCCACTGGGGCAAAGGTTTCATCAAAGTCAACACCTTCCTCTTGAAGGTAGCCCTGAGCAACTAATCTAGATTTATTTCTAATGACAACATTATCATCATCAGATTTATTTCGATAGATCCATTTAGTACCAATTACAGTAACATTTTCAGGTCTTGGAACCAAGTCCCAAACGTGCAGGTGTTCACATTGGTTTAATTCTTCTACCATAGACAGACCCTATTCTTCATCTTGTATAGCTTCTTTCCAGTTTTTTGGTTCAAATTGAGATACAAAAGCATACTGGCCAGGGGTGTACTTACCTCTAGTTTGAAGACCATCACTAATTTTACCAATGACTTGACTTTTAGGATGTCTCTTCTGAATATGGGGAGGGGCTTTTGGTACACCAGCTGCAGATTGAGTATCTTCAGAAGTTTGTGCTTGAGGTTCTAGCGTCTGAGACTTGTCTGGGGTAACCTGCCCACTATAAGATTCTTGACCAGATGATGTGAGTTCACTTAAGTCAAAAGTCATAGAATTATCTGATACAACAGATACTGTTTCATTGAATAAGACATGAACTGACTCTTCTACTTTTCTGGTTCGTTTATTATAAACCCTATAAGCTTGACCTTTAGTTGAGTAACCAAGAAAAGCAGTAGGATCAGATTTGGCATCAAACTTGCAGAGAGAATCTTGAGTGTTCAGCGTGTAACAAGGACATCCAAAGGGATGAAAGTAAGATATCTTAGGAGTTCTACCTTTTAGTATTTCATAAGGAGTTTTGTTCAAATTTTCTAATCAGAACACGCTTTATAACATAGCATGCAGTGTTTACTGATTCAGCCCAAAAGAACTTAGGTAGATTATAATCTAAAAGCATAGTTCTAGCAC